AAATTAGTATCTAAATTTTTACTAATTTATTATGAATGAGACATTTGTTACGACAGTTTAAATATTCGGCTTGATTTTGTGAAAACCTGTGTTTTGTTTATTTTCATTTTTTATAGTTCCTTGTCAACGTGTGATTAGAAACGGGATGGCTGAGCGAGCTAGTCCATGTGCACAGTACCGCGTTGCCCGGCAACCTGATCAAATATATAATTAGATGAAATAATTACGAGTTCGCGTCCCGGTGCCGAGAGGGCTTTAAATTATTCCCCCTCCCTCACCTCTGGCCCGGGAAAATCCTGATAGGCGAGAAATGAGAGAGGACAAAGTGAATATTTACTAAAGAAGAGTATTTCTTTTATGTTTACAAAATAGATAATGATGGAGGCTTTTATATTTGCATACACAAGGTGTTCCGTAGGTAGAGAAAAATATTCATAGGAGTGATAGCATACCTTAAGAGCTTCAAAAAAGTTTATATAAACATTAATCTAATTTTCGGTACAAAATTTTAATTTTGTTTTTTTTAAGTCTCATAATTTTTGTGGAATACTAAGCACTAACTTAAGAAATATTTAATTTAAGTAATTAAAAATTGCTTCACTGTAGACTAGACAAAATCGACTTCAATTGAAAATAGAGTTTGTTTTTTTAAGTATACATTTAAAATGTATACTTAGCGGCTAAACTAAATTATTTGCGATTTTGTTATCATCTTACAACTAAAGATATCCCTCTTTTAGAAAAACTTACTTGATTAATAACCTTTAAGGCCATATTGATTAAGTTGAGGTTTAATTAGGGAAAAACTTGAGATTTACCTTAAGTTGTGTAAAAACATTGTGTGATTTGATATCCTGTCTAAAAATACTTGTGTTATCAGCAAAAATTACTACAATAAATTTCTGGATAGATTTTATTTCTTGTTTTTCAATGATACGAGCTGTATAATAGTATTCATAATTGTCTAAATACCCTTTTTATTTATATTTAAAAAAAGTAATGATTTTTCATGCAAAGTGATCATAATCACTGTGTTTTTTACTCTCTCTAAATATCTTTATAATAGAAATTGATTCGTATTTATTAGTGATAAGGCAAATGTTCTTAATCTTAATATTTAGGTTTTCATGAAAATTATTGAATCAATCAGCAGGTTTCTTTATTTTAAACGTAAATTTTAGAACTGAAAACATATATTTCGTCACTTATGATCACGGAGCAGTTACTGCAATGGAGATCTTATTAAAAAACACAGTTTAATTATCACATTAGATGATGAATTATCGAAAAATTATTTTTTTTTTACATTTTCTTTAATATAAAAAGAGTGTTTATGCAATTATATTTTCTGTTATATATCCCAGGTCATAGAAAAAAATATAATTTTTCATATGAGAATAAAATCTGTTTTCAGGAATACAGTAATCCCTCAACATTTGCAGGCCCGATAACCACGAATTTTGTTCATTAGCGAATACTGAAATGCGGATAAGTTTCTGATTAGCAAATCGAGTATTTGATGAATTGTAATTACAAATAAAATTCCAGTACATACTGAACATGCCTGTCTCTACTGTTAGTACATAGTACACGATAGTACACGATTCCATGTAGTAATCGAGCGGTTTACAGAGGAACATAAAAACTATAATTATTTCATTACGATTTATTAGTGTAATTTCATATTTTATTTTCCTCTACTATTTTCCATAGTATTATACTACCTATATTAGTTGCATGCTACGAAATGTCACCTTTAGCTCTAACAGAATTGACATGGAAAATTTTTGCATACGAATCTTTGCACCACTAACAGTAGCTATATATATTATATGAAAGTAATCATTATACCTTGTATACTCCAACATGTGAGTGAATACCTTTGCTAGATTGTAGTTATTTTGCATTTCTCCTAAGACCGAAATGGAGCATTAAATCGGTTGTGGTAAAATCCATATTTTTTTTTTTTTTTTTTTACTTTTTAGAGGCCTAAGCTCATCTCTAAAATTTCTCCGATTGTAATTTTTATAAAACTACAAAAACAAAAAAAAAAAAAAACTTTAAAAAAAGACCAAATGTTTATTTAGTATACCATGGACGCATAGCTTTAATTTGTTTCGTTTGATTGTTAACTTTATGTTGAAAGGGTGTTTTAGTTATTATTCATACATAAAAAAAATCGTATTTTAATCTTAGTATTAAGTACCTAGTGTTGCCCAAATGCGAGACCGAGACGAGTCTTGGTCTTGCAAACTCAGTCATCGTCTGGTCTTTCGTAAAAATATCGCAACAGTCTTGCAGTTACTTATTAGCTTATTACTATAGAAGTATTACTGTATTTTTTTAGATAGGAAAAACCTAACTAAGCCCGAATGAAAAATTAGAGGAGTTAAATGCAAAAATATATTGTTTATACCAATTATTAACATATAGTAACTAAGATTGCTTAATATTAGTAACTATTTTGCCTTAATTTTATTTAAAAAATAGATTTTTTTGCCAGTCCTGGTGTTGGTCTTGCAACAGTGTGGCGGCCTTAGTCAAAGTACAAGACCAAGACCGATTTTGGGCAACACTATAAGTACTCATATGGAATAATTTAATATCAGGGATGCCCCATAAGGGGATTGCATGGCGTATATTGTTGCTTCAAAATTTTAGTGGGGCACATTTTTAGAAGATCATGGATTTTTGAGGGAGCATATATTTAAGGAATTATGAATTTTCGGAAGGAACCATATTTTTGTGAGATTTCAATTGAAAAAACTTTCAAACAAAGGATAAAGAAACTACATTTTTATAATTTAATTTTTTTTCTAATGCGAACAGGAAACGAACTATCGAGCCTTAAAAATTTACCCATTTCGATTTCTTCACAATATTGCTCTTTCAGTTTTGAACGAAAGAATCATGAAACTCCATTTTAAAACACGTTCAGAGAATTTGGAGGTTTTCTTGAAGATAATGATCCATTGGCTGGAACTGTAGACGATAGTCGGGAGATGTTTTGAAAAGTATGTTACATGGTGATCCAGACCCCTCTTCCGTGCACCCTTCCCGCACATCCCAATATATTGTATATAGTTGAGTTCTTTGTAATTATTTATTAAATAGAAGGCAACGTTCACAAAAAAAAGTGAACGCACTGTCCCAAAATGGAGTCCAAAAATAGCAGATTGACTTCTTCGAGTCGAGTTAATTTTTCGGTCACCAAGTTTCAGCACTTGTCTTAATATCGCCATAATTGGCCTTTTATTAAAGCTGGATAGTTAGAGAATAGTAAAACATGAAAAAACATTATAAAATAATTGCTCTGGGAAATAAAAAACAATAAAAATAAAAGTCAAGTTTTCCAAACCGTTGAAATTAAAATAAAAATCAAGCGTCTTTTGCAAATAAACGGCCAACAATAACGAAAAACGTTCAGGAATAAAACATCTGGAAATCTAAATAACTGATTGGTTTTTACAATATTTGCATAAATAGAAAATACACTTAATCGGCGATAAATCGGTACTGGCACAGGTGTCTAAGAGTCCTCTGCCACATAATTAAGTACTCATAAATATTTCAGATATAGTACGCTATAATGATTGTATTAACGAACAAATATTAATACAATAATTTAATCTTGAATGTTTTTATTTTTATTTTTTCAAAACTTTAGCCATTTTGAAAGCTCGATAGTTCGCTTCCTGTTGGTTTGAAAAATAATGTTACATAATTTTAAGCTGTTTAAGATTAAATATAACCATTTTTTATCTTTGTCACCCCAAAAAGGAAAAATATAGATTTAAACCAAAAAAAGTTCGAAATCTCAATGGTTTTTGGAACACTGCAGCAAACCCACAAGTCTTTTAAGGGCGGAAACTTGGATTTTTTATAGTCACTGCATACATAACAATATATAAAAATTTGAATTACCCAACCTTTTGCAAGGTAAATCCCTTTTTTGTGCTAATTTGACTAAGAGAAAAACACAATTCCATAACCCCTTACATGAAAATTCATTATTTTTTAATTATATATTTTTATAAATAAAATGTTTTTAGACAATTATTTATATTACGATACATCTCATATCATGGGAAAAAAAAGAAATAAAAGATTTGCAACAGTCAATTCTTCAAAGTGACTGGATAGAATATCATATAATTTCTTTACACAACTTGAGGTGAATCTCTAAATTTTTCTCATAAACCTCAATTTAATTAATATGACCTTAAAGCTTATTAAAAGAGGAAGTTTTTCTAAAAGTGGGGTAACTAAAAGTGTAGTTGAAAGATGATAAAAAAAAAAAATCACATATAGTAAATCGCTTTTTTAAAACGGAACTTAGCTGAGTTTATCCGCTCAATATCCCCCTTTAAATGTTTTTAAAAATGGCAAAATCTACTTTATTTTAAATTAAATTTTATCTAGTTTATTACGGAGCCATTATCAATCCTTTAACAAACATTTTTTTAGTTATCGCTTTCTATTCATCAAAATACGCGACTCGTCTTAATCTTAATCCTACTTTTCTGCTGAAAATTGGACAATTATTTATATGAAGTTTTTTTGATGTTTACTATCAACCTTTTAAACATTTCTCTCTACTTACGGAGCAAGTAGATAGGGGGGATAGAGTTGGGTAATATACACACACACACGTATATATATATATATATGCATTACATTCTTTTATTTTTTCTCTTTTTCTTTGTACTGACCCAGGACATTATAATTTAATTTCATCTGCATCTGTTTTAAGAAGAAGAGAGTAAGTATTTTTTTTCGAGAAGGGGCCATTGCATGCGTCATTGCTCTTGGAAGGGATGAGGTTGCCTAAATAATATTATAATTATTCCTTTAAATATTATAATTATTTCTTTACTCTGTAAAACAACTCGAAATGAATTCCTTCGTCTACGATATTCAGAGATAACATATCCATCAAAATTTTTGTAGTGCTTTAATAATGTACACTTGATATTTATATTACGAATTTGGTTATTACGATGCTCGCTGGCCATAGAGGTTGGAAAAGAAGAAAAGATTCACACCTCTCGCTTGCAGACGTCATAAGAGATCTAATTGAAGGCGGACCGATACTAAATCTGAGCTGGAATGCAGGCTCCTCTTCTAATAGTCTCCGCCATTTCCTTCTTCTTCACTTCTTACTCTTGATGAATCGCTATCGTGAGGAGGGCATATTTGTTCTACAGCGACACAGTCTTCTCCACTTTGATGGATCGTCGACAATTTTGTCTTTCCGACTAGTTCTGCAGAGGCTGTTGCATTCTTCTTCGAAGTTGATTACTTTTCATTCGCCTTTTCTTTATTATTTCAAACTTATCTACTGGCATTTTGCCTTCCTTCTTTATCTTTAATTGAAAGCATTCGAGAACATCTTAACTGGTAACGCAATCGAGGTATTCTGTTGAGTGAATGGCGCATCACTTACTGGCACTCTTACTTATTACCTTAATTAATCAAAATTAATTCTCCTGTCCCTACTCGTCCTGCGCACTTACAAGAGCACGCATAGCTGTATAAGAAAGTTGTATCAATTATCTTTTTTTTCAATTACAATCTTAGCGCTCTCGCATTAGAAGAAAACTATTAGACAAACGAAACACTTATATTGTAATATTGTCCGATGTAATCATTCTTATTGTAGATAAAGCATTTGTTTGGTAAAATATTAGTTTAGATTGATGTTGAAGTATGTAATACCATAAAGACATTAATATATTAAAATGTAATACTTCCGAATGCTACATTTCTCTCATTAATGATAGATAACTGATATTGACTCCTCTCTAGAATTTCTGCCCTTAGGTGTTTCAACAGGATTTAATAAAAACTATAAAAATTCGAAAACCATTATTCCCCAATTGTTCACCAATCTAAAATTGAAGTCATTACTATCTGTCGCAAAGAAGTTGAAAAGAGATGATTTTAAATGGCGGTTTTGATAGAATAGATTTTATTTTTAGTATTATATCTTGTCAAGATAATCTTGTGAACAGTTTTTTATTTTATTTTTTGATGGATTCTTCCATTTAAAATTTGGTAGTAAGATTTTGGCTAACAAAAAAATATATTACCTGTACCGAATCATGAGCGGAAACAAAAGTAATTTATGAGAGGGGGGCTAGCAGAAAGGTCCAGAATTTGGTGGAAATGGTAATAAATCGTTTAACTAACTATTTAATAACTCGATCAAACTACCTGACATTGGTTGTCGTAGGCATAGACAAGGAATAAATTAATGTCATTGGTACTTCTATAAAAATCAATTTTTCTACAAGGCGAGTAAATATTTAATTTATCCCGACATAATGAATGATAATTTATTTACAGGTATATACTCGTACGAGTACTGTTACTATTGATTTTTCTAGAGAATAATGAATAATTTAAAGTTTTCTTTACACAATCCTGTATATAACGAACAATTTACTACAACTACAAATATTTGAGGGATTATTCTTTTTTACGGATTTTATTCTTTTGTAAATTATGTGATTTACGCATAATTTCCTTTTACAAGTTTAATCAGGGCTCAAAGAGTCAGACACATTTAAGAATTCTGTGGCGATGGCAGCGTGATTGAATGCACCATTCAATGATGGCTTCAAATATTTCTAGAGGGAGACTTGAGCATTGAAGTCAACGATGTTATGGAGAGACTTCTTTCTCTGATAACGATATTCTTCCGATTACTTTTAGTCGAAGAGATTCCCAGAGCAACTATTCGAGACCCTTTTAGTTAGTAAATCAACTATCGCTGGCCACCTCAACGTAACTGGTCTTGTAAAAAAGCTTGAAACTTGGATTCCACCAGCATTGAACAATCGCCAAACAAATCATTGTGAAGTTTGCGCTGCTCTTCTTTGGCGAGAACAGAAACAAACCTTACCCGTTCTATTTTCCAGACCTCTCGCCTATCGACTACCATTTTAGTAGACATATAAGCCACTTTCTAAAATATAATATTTTTATTGAACAAGATTCATTTGAAAATACTTTTTCAGAATTTGTTAATAATAACGCTTGAACCGTTCAGATGTAGCGGAAAAGTTGCCAATGCGTTAGCAGAATTGTATCGAGAATTTTCGTATCATTTATTTTAAAACCATAAATCTACATTACTTTCTGGACAATCCAATAGTTGGTATATCTTAAACATCCATGGATCCGCCATGGTACAGAGTACCCAATTTTTGATATCATACTCCGTTGGTAGTATATGATTGGAATAGCCAATGGACTTGGAAGAGGAGGACTGGGGGAAAGGATGAAGTGGACCAGGAGTCACCATTAAAGAGATAGTGTACAAGTGAGGAGACTCTGTCCTTCGCTTAATAAAATCATTATCATTAAGGAAGAGGGATCGTGAAAGTTCAGCCGGCAATGGGTCCATTAGCAATGCAAGGGAGTATCGCTTGGTAGCGCACACAACATATATTTGCTCCCTTTATCAATAAGACCAGTCCGGACTACATTCTCATCGCTTCCAATTTACATTAATACTCCGCTTAAATAGCTCACTGATAATGTGCTTCCAGCTATCATTAAGATTTGGAGTTTGACATTAGCGGCTAATTTAATTCTAAATTTGTATTATATCATGCGTTTAATGTAAGGATATTGATGATAAATTCTTACGAAAAGGATAACTCTTGCAATCAGCATTCTGAGACATGTTTAGTGCCAGTAATGAAACTTGACATTATCATCACCTAATGACTGCAAGTTTCATTGAAATAAGTAAACATTCTTCAAACCTATCTATACTGATTGGTAGGATAAGTACTTGAGAACGACAAGGCCGGTTTTTATAAAATTTATTAGAGATGTTTTATATATAGTCGATTTAACGATTCTTAACATCGATTAACGACAAACCAGACTCAACAGAAGAGTGAGGATATTGATTCACACGTAGGTTGTTTATGTTGTTTTCCAGTTTTGTATTTCGCCGTTTTAGTGTAAAACTGTTGTAAATCTGAAATAATTGGATCAAAATTATGATCGGTATTTAGATATTTTTATCACTTTTGGGAATTGTATAACTACTTGATGGTTAATTTTATATTATTTATATTCATTTTTTTATGTAATTTTTCTCAGTGATTTTTCATGTTTCAAGATGGCTTGGATTACAAAAAAAATTGCATAATAGAAAGACGTTTGGTAGCAAAACATTATTTTAAATCATGTTTCATCTTTTTCATCGTATTTCAGAAGGCATTAAAAATTAATTATTTTGGAATTAAATAATTATTTTATAAAGTACAATTGCATAATACTTTGCACTAATATATAGGGCGAAAATCTATCGTTGATATATCAAATAAACATTTTACCTTATTTAGACTGTCAAATCTGGTAAGTTAATTCTGAAACGGTAAGAATGCTTGATTAGTGAGTATAATTAAATGCTAGAGATGTTTATCTTTAACCTAATTGAGTATGGTGTATAGCGTATAGAGCTGGTTTCGTCCCAAGCTAATGATCTCAATTTATATGCACTGATAATTAAAAGAATAAATATTTATGATATTACTAAATTGTGTTTTAATTTTTCATAAATTAAAGGAATGTAAATTATGGTAATAATTTTCAGAGAGAGGGGTGAAAAAAACTTTTTTTTTTTCTTAATATCAATAAATATGGTGAATATTCTGAAATGTATTTTTAAAAATAAAAATAACATACCCAAAATACTAAATCATTTATATCCTTTAATTATATTATTATATTTATTTATTTTTATCCGAGAATATCATTCGTTTATAATTCGTGTGGTATGAAAAACCTGAAGTATGAATTCATGAAACCAACAGTTGTTTTCATTTTCTTTTTCTTTAATTGTGCCTCTCTTTTTCAGCTTTCGCCATTTGAGATATAATAGTCCCGTACCAAGTTTTAATGGTAAACAGCTCATATAATTAATAATTAATTCATTAACTTTTGTATTTGGGACATAACATAAATGCATCTAATTTAGATATAATATTTGACGGTTGTTATTACATGCTTCATCAATTCTTGGACAATTGTGTGGGAAAGTAGGTAAATTCTTTAGTCAGAAGACAATTTCAATTTTTCTTTAGTGAGTTTGACTTACTGGCACAGTGGTGACGCTTAATGAAAATTTCTTCAAACTGAAAATGACTTCAAACTGAATGTAAATTGAGATTTTTTTTTTTGTACAGAATTGCATACAAATCGATTTTTTTTTAGCATAATTTTATGCTTTATTTCTCTCTGCTATTTTCCTAATTAGCAGACTACTTATTGCAGTTGCAGACTACAAAATGTCATCTTTAGCATAAAGATAATAAACATAGTAAAATTTCAAAGTTCTTTAAACTCTCACTGTATAGGATACAAAAGGTGTGGTTTGGGCGAGCAGTCCTTCATTCCTACCATTTGAAAAATAGTTGCAGCATTACTTTATTTATAGTTCAAATCAGTGCCTGTGAGCGTTATTGCTTAAGATTGCTTTTAATAATTCAGTTAATTATCTTTATTTTTCATTGGATTAATTAAGGTTCAACCAGTTTCATATTGGTTAAAATTGTATTTAAAAAATGGTTACAATCAAACCTTTGAAATACATAAATAACACTTACATAGTCATCAAATTTTGAACAGCTTTGCGCTAAGCACTGTTTTTTAAAAAAATTTCAGAAAACGTAATCAAAATTTCTGGAATAATTTTTTTAATCATATGTAAACGTTTCGAATTATATATATAGACAATATAGCCCTATTTACATACAAATAAATGAGCTAATAGTTAAAAGTTAAAAAAAAATGCTCAAAAAATTATTTTTTTGGGGGGGGGAGGGGATGTGTCGTTGCTGAAGCATGTTTTCTAGACCTGATAACAACCACCTGTCTTCTTAAGGTTCCGAGAGAACAGGGGGAACGAATAATGTTTTTCTGATTGCTTCTAAAAAAACTAATAAGCAGAAAGTACAAGATATAATATAGCAGGGTGCTCAGAAGGGGTTTCCATGGCGCAAGTTGCGCCAACAAAATTTTGAGGACAATGTTTACACTGTTTATATAAGGAACGAAAAAAGGAATAAACAAAGAATAAAGGAGGGAAATTTAAATTGCAGTTAGGGAACGATTGTGAGGAACTTTAGTCAGGGATTGTGCTTTCTATGTGATTACAAGGTTAAGGGAATAGATTAAATAAATTTGAATACATCCATACTTGTTCCCTTTTTATTATTATTATTATAAGTTTTTTATTAATTCTTACTAATTATGATTTTAAATTTTAATTATCTTAAAAATTAAATTTACACCTTAAATTAGTCTTATATTGGCTTGATTAAGACCGTTAAAGTTTTATTTGTAAAAACATACATGATTTTTATTCGAAAATTATGCTCAATGAATTTTGTCCTCTTAGATCAGCGTGACAAAGGTGTGTTAAATAAAATTTGTGTTTAGGCAATTGGGTTTATTAAAATTTATCCCCGATCATGGAAAAACAAGAAATAAAAGCTTTGTAACAATTAATTGTAGTCATTTTTTCTTAAGAGGATAAACAGGATAAAAATATCATTTTTTTTTTTTTTTTACAAAACTTAGCTGAAAATGCTTTTGTAAAAGTGGAGAAACAGTAGTATCGTTGAATGATGATAAAAAAAAAAAAAAAATGGCTAATAATTTATGGCTTTTTTAAAAACAAAACCTAGCTTAGTTTAACTGCTCAAAAGTCCTCTGTAAGGGCCAGTTGCTCCAACCAAGTAAAGTTTAGATTAAGCGTTATCTAAGATTAAACCAAGTTTTCTAAGGTCGACCGAAGAAGATTAAACTTGGTTTAATCTTAGATAACGCTTAATCTAAGCTTTACTTGGTTGGAGCAACTGGCCCTTACAGAGGACTTTTGAGCAGTTAAACTAAGCTAGGATTTGTTTTTTAAAAAATCATAAATTATTAGCCATTTTTTTTAAACATCATTCAACGATACTACTGTTTCTCCACTTTTACAAAAGCATTTTCAGCTAAGTTTTGAAAAAAAATGATATTTTTATCCTCTTTATCCTCTTAAGAAAAAATGACTACAATTAATTGTTACAAAGCTTTTATTTCTTGATTTCCTATGATCGGGGATAAATTTGAATAAACCCAATTAGAGAATTAGAGCAACTGGCCCTAAATGGTTTTAACAATGACAAACTCTATGTTCGTTTAAAGTAAATTTCATTTTATTTACAATGAAGCAATTATTAATTACTTAAATTAAATATTTGTTTAGTCATTGTTTTCGATTCAATAAAAAATATGACGCACTTGAAAAAACACAAAACTTGGATTTCCTACTTTAGTGTTTAAAATTGGCCGATTGTTTGTATGCAATTTTTAGAAGCTCTTGAGGTCTGCTATCACTCCTATAAAAGTTTCCCTCTACTTACGGGACACCCTGTATACACAAATATATATATATATACACAAATATATATGAAACCAAATAATCGTGTACAAGGGTTCATGAAACAGATATAAATAAAATCCAACCCTTGCACCATGAGTGGTACCAATTTCCTTTGATCAGGGCATAAGTCTATAATTTCTGAGGGAAAATACGAGTGAAAAAGTAATGAATTCGTTATTAAATCGTCTATAATGTAACGCGTGGGAGATTTTCAGGGGGTAGTTCTCAGCATCTAAGCTGAGCGGTCAACGAACTGAAAGGGTACAATAAAAAAATTAACAAAAAAAACACCAAATATTTCTCAGGTGAACATCTTCTACTTACAGTTATATATTAACCATATCATAGCTATTATTCAACATAAGTACGTGACATCCAAAGGATTAGACGGTTGAGTCCTGTCTACGTTTTGTTTTATTTAGTACGTCCCTTCCCGACATTATATTATCGCTACCGTCCCACCAGTTCAAACAGAGCTGACAATTTCACGTCAATTTCT